TATTTATAACTTTGCTACACACCTGCCCCACTATGCATTAAGCTTAATTCATTTCACAAGAACGTTAAAATACTCGCGCACGGCCGATCTGTATGGGTATTTACAATGGCGAGTGCGTAGCACGAATTTTAACTAGTTCTTGAGGTCTTGACAAATATCCACCCCAATATCTACCTCACGTTTGCAATTGCGCTACCCATCGTTCAACACAACAGCATGAACAACAGAATCAACATGTATTATTCTATCTTTATCAGGATTGTCGAAGCCTTGAACATGGTCGCAGAATCATTAGATATCGGTCCCGAAGGAACAATTGATAAGGCCGAAAGAAACTTCCGTATTAACTTACAAGCCCTGAAGCCGCAAAACTTTAGTGGGCTTAATTTCTCCGGAATCATCAAAGAACCTGATAAATTAGAGAAAAATAGCACCTCAAAAAAATTAGGTGATGGCGTTTCGGACACTTTATCTCCTTCTCTGATTGTTCCTCGGTCCATATTCAATGAGACAACGTACAAAAACAGTTCCGCAGACCAGACAGTGATTTTTTTACTCTACAAAGAAACAAAGTTTTTTCGATTGTCATTGGCGGATACGAGTAAGACGTCAAGTCGCCTGAATAGTCTTGTAATTGCTGGAAGTATCAAGGGAATACGTGTTGCAAATTTGAACGTTCCAGTTTATATTGCACTTCCAATGATCGAACCAGGAGACACGAAAAGCACTCTGTGCTCTTACTGGGATCTCAACATAGGGGATTGGTCGCAGGAAGGTTGCGAGTTTGAACGCGCTCTTGAAGATGGAAGGGTGCTTTGTAGTTGTAATCACTTCACTAACTTTGCAATGTTGATGGTAAGATTTTTAATTATCGATTGATTAAAATCATGATACGGAGTTCCCCCATGCAATGACGATCAAAATGACTATCTCTAAAACCTGCAACGGGGGATGTTTATAGAAGGAAACATTTCAAACCCACAGCTTCCATCATATGCGGGATTGGTAAATATTTTGATGCATGAAAAAACAGATGAGATGATTCCGCATGGTGTATTTGGTGTAATCGCGCTGACCTATATACTAACGTATTTGTTTATCTCAGGATTGAATGCTTGCGGTAAAAATGTGTCCGCAGTAAAGATGACAAATATAGGACCTTTGAGCGAATTGTTTTTAAAAACTTTTCGGTTGTTTGAAAAACCAGGAAATAAGACTTTAGGGAAACTTACCCCCTTGCAGGGGCCAATTGTATAAAAAGTTAAATATGGTTAGTGGAAGAATTGGTTAATCAAAATCTTTTATTCTCCAGTTAACTACATTGAACCACTCAAACACAATTAAAAGTTTCAGACAACTGGTCGCTGCAATTTACATCTATTGCACTCTCTTTTCAAAAACACCCTAAGTACGAGGTCGGGGGAGGGGTTCAGAACACCGTCTCAAGTTAAATGCGGCGCTTGTATATAATTGGAACACCTGTTGAATAGAGTAAAGACGATTTAAATAATATTTTTTTAGGATGTCTATCCAGGAGAGAAAACTGTACATGATAAAATTCTTGGTATAGTTAGTTATGTTGGTTGCGGGCTATCACTGATCGGGCTAACTTTGACAATTACTATGATTCTAATATTAAGGTAAACATGAATTCTAATAACTTGCAGAAAAACATTGCATGTAAATATTCCGGAATGTCGTTTTTTTACGAGTTTGTTATTGCTCAAAATGAACCTACGAAACTGACCCACAGACCAATCGAATTGTGCTTGCATGTTTAGAAAAGTTTTCTCTATTCAACATTCCAACTTTTTAATTCAGGAATCTTCGAAATCAAGTTCCTAGCCAGATCCTGCTGAACTTTTGCGTTGCTTTGTCATTAACGTTGATTGTATTCCTGGCTGCTGTTGAGAGGTCAAAGGCAACCTCATTGCCAATAGTCGGCTGTCGAGCAGCGTCAATCGCCATTCATTACCTGTTGTTGGTGACATTCTTCTGGATGGCAGTACAAGCATTCAATATGTACCAGGCATTTGTGAAAGTGTTTACACATTCGCGCCTTTCCAAAACCAAGTTCATGATAAAGTGCTGTCTTTTTGCATGGGGTAAGGTTTCAATTGTTATATCTTCCCGAGGCGAGCCGTGGTTTCGAAATTTGCAAAACTGCCCATCATTCTCCAGTTAAACCAAAGAGCCGCGCGTCACATGGACCTCTAGTCGCATTGAATGTGGTATAAAAAATTTTTTCGTTTAAAATTTATGGCAGTTATTATACCACGTTTAATGCGAAGTTACCCTCCCAGCAACATTAAGCCTGGAAGTTTGGCTCCAACTTGTCTCCAACTTTATCCTTTGCTCCACTCTATCCTAAAATCGTTGTAGAAAATCATAAATATCTGACAAGGAAAACGATAAATATTATTCTAACGACTATTTATACTAACGACTATGCATGTTACTACTATTATTTCGTAATTTAAGTAATTATATTCATTAACTTAATTTGTGTAACGTTGCACTTCAGGCACCCCAGCTCTGATAGTTAGTATAACGGCGAATTTCTCCCTGGATAAGTATGGCGACAAAACCTAGTAAGTAGAATTAGTATAAATATTGCACTTCGGAGCTCGCGACGTGTGTCGTTTTTAATTTTAAGATGGGACATTTTGTTGGAGGAAAAGAAAATTTCTTTTCCCAAATGTTTCCACGGGTGGGTAAGCGGGGAATTAGAGAACTGACGAGTAATCAAAAATATTTGCGTAACAAAATTTCGTTTACCTAAAGCTGAGGATCAAGAATCTGTCAGCATTTTTTAAAGGGAATCGAGTGATTGTTAGTAATGTTCATGATTAATCAAAGCTTTGTGCCTTTTAGCTGTCGATTACACGGAGTACCTTTTATCGTGGCATTTTTGGCCCCAATTGTTCTTATCCTGGTTGGCAACATCGTGGCATTTTACTTTATCATTCGCTCATTGCTCACGTCCGGTGCCAAACTAACCTCGGACAAAAAAACGACAGGATTTCAGCATGCCAGACGGGGATTTGCGATTATGGTACTGCTCGGTTTGACCTGGCTTTTCGGTATTCTCGCCATTGGAGATGCTAAACCAGTGTTTCAATACTTGTTTTGCATTTTTAACACACTCCAAGGTCTGTTCGTGTTCGTCTTCTTTGTTGTTCTACCCGGTGGAACCAGGCAAAATCTTCGTGTACAAAAGCCGATCGTACATAATCGTGTTCAAAATCGCTCAAATCAGTTAAAACGTTGGGAAGGAAACAGCTCCCATTTCAACAACATAGCTGATACTACCACCAACCCGTCGACACCAGCTACGAGTGAAAGAAAATTTTTAAATTTAAGTAGTCATAATTCAGCTATTGAGAGCCCTTGGAAGGGTATCGAGAAACCTGATGAAGCAAATTACAAAGGCAAAGAGCATCTGGACGCCCCATCTGAAATTTATTGACGATGTATGGACTGCCCAGAACAGTTTAACGGGCTTGTGAGTGCAAAAAAAAATGGGAAAAATCATATCACGAATGTGTTAGTTCGCAAGATTCTCAAAATACATTTTGTTAGTTAAAATGGCGCGGGGAAAGTGAAAATAATTTAGATTGCCCGTTATGTAACAAGTATTTAGTGTGTACCTTGAATTCTTTTTTTCTTGCTCTTTCGCTAAATTAAAATTAACATTTTCAACAAAATCGTAGACAATCCTCATTAAAGCCAAATCGCTGTATTTCTCAAAATATCAAGAAATTGCAAAATACTTACATTGCTTGGTTTGCTGTACTTCTAAATAAATATGAGCTAGAGTAGAGTTTATGTTCGTAAATACACACTGAAGCATATGCATGTGGTATTTTAGCAATTTAAAGTACCGGTGACACGCGGGCCGAAATTTAAGGTGGCTATCGTTTTTTTGCGATCGCTTTCTTTTCAAATGTGTTCGATCAAGCTCGTCTAATGCGAATAGTCCCGCCTGATTGTGTATATTTCAAAGGAAAGGGATCGTAAAAAGTCGATCGCGCAACATTTGGCACTGAATAAAAGCACAGGGTAAATAACTGATTTCATTTACTCTGTGAAAAAAGGGAAACGCTATATCTATTTTGCTGGCCTTTGCCTGTCCAAGGCTCACTGGCCTTCGCCGGCTTCGTTCTTCTGCTCTGCGCGCGCACCAAAGGCACGTGGTTGCCGCCACCGGGTTTTGCTTGCTGGCCGCTTGGCAATAAAGCTAGGCGGGTAGAGACGAGATAATCTGGGCTTTTAGGCCTAGTAAATCGTGATAAGAAGATAGAAGACAGAATTCAGAAGCAAAAGAAGCAGCCGTCAAAGTCGTTGCCCTGGAAGTCGTTTGGTATCCGTGGCCTGGACGATATGGACATTCTGGTGGTGGTCCCTGGCTGCATCCTCCTGGTGGCCTGGCTTGCTCGCATGGTCAGTTGTTCCGCTGTGGTTGTCGGTATTAGTAATTCCTTTTTTGTGTTTGGCTGAACCTTGAAGGTCCTTCCAGTTTGTGTTCAGGTATTTCTTTTTTTTCCTTTCTGCGTTTTTCTTTTCTTTATAAAGAAGTTGGACGGGGATTATTCTGCACATATCACTGTAAAAAAGGTAAAAAAATGGTTAAATTTATGAAAACTCAATGGTCTAATCGAAGTGAGTATTTTAGTAAATTTTTAATAAAAAAATAAAAAATTGCAAGTGTGAATTTGACTGAAGGCAGATGTTGTTTTATCGAGTGCCAGACCAGTGATTTTATCCAGCGCTTGTCAGGCTTATGTACATAATACTGATAATAGCTAATAGCTATAGCTTAATGCGCGCCTCGTCAGCTAACAGGGCATATACTGCAAGCTAAAACCGTTGTATACTCGTATTATTCTTTCTAATTGGGGTTTCAAAGGTTCGTTTATGTAGTATATAACTCAGTGGGCGAAGCCACAGACTAGTCCCTAGTCCTCCTTAGCGCGCCTTGCATTCTTGAACGAGTTTCTGCACTCCTTGCACTTCCTTGTTTCGTTTGCATCAAATGCGCCAATGTGCTGGAATAATCATGAACATTTATACCGAGGGAGAACTAAGATATTTTAGGTTAGCCAAAGGAGTTATAGGTTATTCCACTGCCGCTCTAAGAAAAGCATTTAGGCGAGAATGGAACCGTCTTTATCCATCTAAGCCATGGCGAGATGATGGAACGAGCGGAAGAAAGATGCTTGCAGAAGAACAACTATCTCGGCACTCACGTCTGTACGACCCAAAATTTGCAAATGAATGTCAATCAATCAAGGATCATTTGAAACGTGGAGATGTAGAAGAATGGGACGTTACGACATTGGTATTTGCTTTTCTCTACTCTCATGCTTTAAACGGTATACGTTACCGTTCACACTGGGGAACAGTGAATACTGCTATACACAAAATAAAGCAGGTTAGAAATAAAGTTTTTGCACATGCTAGCGAAGCGTCAATTTCTCGCACAAGTTTCATGAGAAACTTTGGTATTTTGGAACAAGGGGTGCAGGACTTACTCCACACAAGGTCAGATCCTATGGTTAAAGATTTGAGATTGTTGCGAACAGAAACCGAATTCGTAACTGATGATCTTGTAAAGTATAAGAAATTGCTTCAGGAAGATCATAATAGCTTACTCTTAATTGATGAAAATCTCAAAACACTGGAGAGGAAGATGAACATATCTGAACCCAAAGGTGGGAAAAATTATGCCATTGCATGCCCTGGGACCTTTGAAAACAGTGAAATCATTTCATCGGTTTCACATCGAATCAACAGACTGGAACATGAGTTGTCAAGTCCAGTTGACTTGGTGCCATCCTGTTTTAAGCCACCAATTTTCCACAGTTCAAGATATATTAAGCTGATGAATGGATCAAATTCTATGTCATACAATTTTTGTTGGGATGAACTTAGCATGTTCCTCAAGGGATTTGATGATAATCTGGACATAAAGATGTTTGCTGCTATCCAATCAGCAGTATCACTCAGTCATCAATCAAGAAAAGATGAGAGTTTTGATGCTCTCAATAGTTTAACTGCCAAAGATCTCTTGGGTACACAATATGGGTAAGTGAAATAGCTACCAACTCCCCCCCTTTCCAGTTTTAATTTCTTAGGTTTAGAGGTTTTCAGTTATGGTGTAGCTTTTTACATTTATTAAACTGTGAGAAATCAATTTATAACACACCACTTTGTTTGTTATAAACAAATAACAAACTGCATGCATCTTTACCAAAATTTTTATCACATCTTTCTTTGTTGCCCAAATGCAGGTAATTCCATAAATCCAGCTTTATTTTAAAACCTTGTGTAGCTTAATCGACAAATAAACAAAGTAACTAAAGAGAATGTTTACTGCACAAGGAGATTTTCTAGTGGAACCACGAACCAGTAAACATGCATGAAATTCATGTGTGTGGAAAAACTCCCAAAGCAGAAAAGCAGCCAAGGGGGGCCATATAGCTACTGCACTACTTAACTGGGGGATGTACCGGTATATTCATATATCTTTCTTATGCCTGACTGATTTCTTTTCTATGCTATTTGTGCTTATGGACTGGTATATAAACATGAATATATGAATAAACACACCCCAATTAAGCAGTCTAGTTATGGCTCTGCTTTTCTGCTTTGTGTATGTTTTTTCCACAAAGCTGAATGCATGTTTACTGGTTCATGGTTGCACTAGAAAAAATCACCATCTGGTGGGTAGTGCTTATATCCAGCCTTCATACAACTGACGCCAGGCTTTTATGATCCCAATTGCAAAACCTGTTGAAGTTAATTTTTGGATGGTAAAGGTGTTAGTTACTATTTTGCTATTACACTTTTTCCTATTCATGAGGCATATGCTCAATGTAGGACACAGGCACCATAATAGAAATAAAAGTAGTGGAAGTACTGGGGGTTGTTGAAAAGGAAATTCATAAGGAAAATTTACTAAGGAACTTGTAGTAGTAAATGTTTAGCAATAAAATAAAGGCAAAATCTGAAGCATAAAAGTTTTTAACATATGGTACACTATGGTACATGTTATAATAACACTGCATGGTTAATATAAACACCTAGTATCATTGCATGAAAGCACAAGTTATCATCATTTTTGGGAATGCAGACAAGTAAATGCCACTGTGTAATTTCCAATATCTGTAACCAAGGTGTGCCACAGGGCTCTTGGCACTACATTGTTCAGTTTGTGTACTATGATATCCCCAGCGCCTGTTTTGGATAAAAATAGGTGTATGTCTTTATAACTTATTATAATATATTACGAATGAAATTGGCTGCCATTTGGAATTCTGAAAACGTATAAAGCCCCCCCCCCCCTCCTTCGAGCTAGAAACCATCAAGTTTATAAAAAATTACATATTAAAATATTGACGTATAAGAATTTTTCTCAACACAGAATTGTTTAGTTATCCCCCTGTACAACAACGCCACATTACTTTACTGATAGCGTAAGAAAGTTTTTGAAAACTTCGTTTTGTGCCTTGTGTCTAAAAGAGATAGATAGGCGTAGAACAATTTAAGAGCAATCCTAAACTATTCCAGCTATGCTGGTGAAGGAGTTGTTAAGTTGAGATTGTTATGGAACTCAGGGCCTGTTTACATGGCGCCGAGTTACCCGGCTAACCGAGTTACTCGCCTTGCCAGGACAAAACGGTACTGTGTTTATAAGGAACCAAGTAACTCGGTATATGTTACAGTACATTGTTATTACATGACGTACTTCCTATATAGGGTGAATTATCCGTGCGAAGAGTTTTGTAATTTGTATTGCAATATCGTTTCTGCATCAAAATCAACGCTGTTAAGCTGGCAAGAAGTTTTGTATTCTTTCAAGCATTTAATCTGGGATAACTGCATTTCTTCTGTCCAGTGAAAAACCTACTTTTTTTCATCACTTTTACGTTGCTTCGACTTGGTTCCGCTATTACTTGCGCCCTCTTGGTAAATGAAACGTAAACGCGCATGCGTGTTTGGCGAATATTCTACTCGCCTAGCCGAGTTTCCCGTTGCAAAGTGTTTACATGGTATAATCGAGTAACTCGCCTTGCCGAGAACCCGGCACAGTAAATTTGCCGAGAACTCGGCACGCCGAGTTACTCGGATGCGCCATATAAACAGTCAACCGAGATATCCATACAATATATAGAACAGGCGAGAACTCGGTGCTGCCGAGTAACTCGGTTAGTCGGGTAACTCGGCTCCATGTAAACAGGCCCTCAGATATGTGATAATGGTTAGTTTGCAAAAAGGAGACTATATATCTATACTAATATATACTGATTTGGCCTTTTTTAAGATTGGTATTATTCGCTCGAGTTAAGATCCGCAAAGCATATATTTTACATGATCGTGGTAAGGACGATGAAGCAATAAAAGAGGTACACGAGGCTGAATTGATGTTGAGCAACGGAGATTACCACGAAGACAGGGCTGAAATCAACTGCGCAAAAGCCAATATATACCTATCATCGGGCAAAAATAGCGCAGGTGATCGCGAAAACATCTTACTCCACTTGGACAAATGTATCCACTTTTGTGAAAAATCCACAGTTGATAAAAGTGTGACAATTACTCAGGTCAAGTTGCGCAAGGCTCTGTGTCATCTTGGCTATTACCAGCATGGTATTATAGTAGAGGCTCCCAAGATTTCCGAAGTTAACATTGCTGAGACAATTTTGAGCCGCATTTCCAAAGAGTCTAACTTGTCAAAACGCAGCCAAGTGTACTTAAAATTTGCTCAATCATTGCTTGCCTACAGAAAGGGGGAAACAAGCACTGCAATAGAATTGGAAGAAAAATTGCGAAGAAAATGCGAACGCCATGAAATACGCTTTGAGATCAAACAACTGGATATGTTGAAAGCTTTGATACGAGGCTCAGAGTAAATTACTAAGTTTCGGCATAGGCTCAGAGGTAGGTGACCGTGAAGAATATAACTGCAATTGGCTGAAAATACCTATACACAGCGCATTCAAGATAGTTAAGTATAAAGCAGCGAATTATATGTTAACCATAACGACAATTTGGCAGTCGCAATCTTCAGATGGCAGTCGCAATCTTCAGATGGCAGTCGCAATCTTCAAACGATCGCGCCGACAAACGGTATAGAAAGAGACTGGGACTAGTCCTTAATTCCGCTTTAAAGATGGCGACCATGCACGGGATATTATTTTGCCTGAGCAATGTCTGAGACGCACGTCGCCCTTGCAGGCAGCGTGATGTTTGAAATTCTCGGAAAACCGGAATGCTAACCCGCCGCTAACCGGTAAAGAATTTTACCGCTCGGCCGGCAGGCATGCCCTAAATGAACACCAGTTAAACGTCAGAGTTATATTAATGTACAGTAAAAAAAGATTCCCGAAGATTAGCATCTTAAAAGCAACTAGCATACCGAGACAAGATCCGAATAAGTTTGTGATATCAACATTCTATCACAAACACTGTGTCTGATGACCGATGATAAAACCTGTGCACTTTCTAAAAAAAACAAAGAAACTCAAAACTGCAGCAGTTGTGCCTCACCATGCATATTATATATGTAAATAAACAAGCTAGCGGAAAAACAACTCATTGTAACTCTGTCAGCTATTTTGTTACTGTAAATGCCGTTTTCCACTTCAATCGTAGCGAAACGTATCGTATCTCGTTGTTTTAAAGTCATAAGTTCTGGTCGAATACTTCGGAAACAAAGAAACACGCTACGTTACGATACGATCCGGTTGAAATGGAAAACAGGCCTAAGTGTGGATATTGGATGACCGTGTCAAATTGATTATAACAATATGGATTGGATTAATCAGAATTAATTGAGTGCCCTTATGATCTCCTTTTTATCAACTGGATCTAGCTACATTAGAACGTTTGCGGCTGTACATAAAGGATAAAAAAACTTTGAAAAACATGTTACGTTTCCTGATATGTTTTCGGTTTTGGTTGAGAATTTTGACCGATTTTCTCAGTAAGACATACCTATGCTAATTGCTGCAGCAGACAGAATCTACTCTAGAAACTAGAATGTCATCAAACAGACTATTGCCGAGTTGGAAGTCTACACCAAGACCGATGTCAAATTTCATTCTCATTGTTGCGAACGCGTGCATGAATTAAAACGTGATGTGAAATCAGTTTGTACCTCGCTGACCCTGCATGCTTCGCTTGGGAATTTATTTTTTTTATCGTTGATCTCAGTAACAATCCTATCATTTTTCTAATTTAAATATGAAAGCTGGATATAGCGCTGTCCACCATATATACTGTGAATCGCTTTAAAATTGCCTGTTATTCAGTATAACCTGTGAGAATTGTGACCGATTTTCTCGGGAAGACAGAGTCACCGAGCTATGATGTAGCAGATAGAATCTGCTTTAGAAACTTGAGTGTTATCAAACAGACCGAGTGCCGAATTATTGGTAATCTACTCGAAGACCGATAGCAAATTTCATTCTTTGCTGCAAACGCGTGCGTGAAAACGTGATGTGAAATCATGTTGTAACTCGCTGATCCTGTATGCCTGGTTCGCTTGGGAATTCATTTTTTATTGTTCATCTCAGTAACAACGCTATCATTTTTCTTATTAGAATATGAAATACGAAGCCGGATAGCGCTATCCACCTGATACCGGCTGTTTTTTTCAATCGCTTTGAAATTGCCCGTTGTTCGGTATAACCTGAAATCAACCTTGATATAATTGAATTTAGTGTCCCCTTTCAAATAACTGTAGCCCTAAAGTGTAATGTTATTGCTTTTTAAACATGTTTAAAACGGTGGAAAAATCGCAATCCGGTGGATATAGCGCTATCCATCTTTCTTGCTATCGGCCTCAGTACTCGATGAGTATATAATAGGTTGAAATATATAGTTAATATACTACTCCCCATATTTTGAAAAACAACTACACAACCACAAACAGCCCATAGCTATTCCTGTGTATGAAATAATTAATCTCCCCACCCATGGGTGGTGAGCACTAAAATAAATATCAGGCAGACAAGAAAAAAACAGGATACATATTTTTAGATAACGATTTTAATAAATAAGACATTCTTTTACTCTATGTACAATTCTATCTAACAGTTTGCATTTAAATAAATGTAAATGTTCGGTTCTCGACTGTTCCAGCGTTGTTGATTGTTTACAAGTGGCCAAGGTAAATATTTACAAATGAAGCGCGATGATTTCCATGTATAAAAAACGTATAGAAGTGCGCGTAGAGCCGAGTGTCAGTCCTAATATTAACATATAATTTCAACTCCTATATTACTTTCGAGACGAGTTCCCATGCAAATCACTCAGCACCGTAATCACCGACCCCCAATCGCGACCCGCAGCGACGCTCAGCTGTTTGACGCTCCTGAAACAACCTACTAATAGATGCAATGCAAATTGCCAACCCTGAATAAATAAATTCTCTTGCAGACAAAATAAACCTTCACGTGGCTATCAATTGGTGGTTTTCTAAATGTTATCTTTTGTAGTCAGATAACGAAAAACATCAAATGCATGATTAATTCAATCCACGATCAATGAATTCACTGTTTAAATTTGCCGAAATCGCTTGTTCATATGTCTTTAATTAATTTGTATCGAGATAAAAGAAACTATAAATTAGAAATTTGGTAACACCGGTTAAAGTACGGTTTCTTATTATACCAGTCGTCTAGAAAGTTCTAAAACAGACTACGGATCGAAAGTTATTATTTTTTATCGCGTAGCTATACTTAATCCTGCCTTATTTTTAGTACTTTTGTTCGGTGGGTTCAAAGTCGTTTATTGTTAACCAATTTAGATGTCCGTGAATCCATTTAATTCGAGAATTAAAACTATTCGAAGTATACGAAAATTTTAGCGTGATTTCACCAGTGACTTTTTTTAAACTTGATTCATCAGCACGTTTTGATAGCTCGTTAAATGGGAATAAGTGCATTCAATAGCGGAAACCATTAATTCCGTCACGAAAACCACCGTAATGCGAGCCACACGAAGATTTTGTAAAACAAACACAAATTCACGCCCTTCGCTGGCGTATATACGGGATGCTTCGAAGCCAACCCGTTTGCGCCAACGTCATAGCAAATGAGTGGGATCTCGCGCGATAGCAGTTTTGACAATTTGCACTTCATCGATTGATAGAAGCAATCTGCTGTTATCTCGCGTTTGAAATTAATATGTTAGCATATCGCGTAACACAGACGTCGATAGTGCGGGCTGTTTACGTTTCAAAACCTAGCAGCGAAGCAAAATTTGCCCAGTGAAATCATGCGTCTGCAGTTGCGCGTGTGAAAAGACATGCGCAAACAGAAGATTGCGCAAAGCACGTGCGAAACAAATGACTTTCAGATTACGACTGAAATTTAACTTTGATTAATACAAAAAAAAACACAAAAATTATTCGAAATTTCGGGTTCTGTCTTCTCAAGAGTGTGTGGAAAACCTTTGGCTCGAAACGAAATCCGCTCAGTTAAATTTCACACGTTTGTGTTGCAAAAGAGGAATCGAAACTATATATGGTGGTTGATGCAAACTTAATCCCCTCAGATGTATATGTTTAGAAATTTCTGAAGGATTTTTCACACCGCTTATTCTCATTATTAAGTGATTGGAAATGAAAATAAACGCGAATATATTTTAGCATGAAAAAGTCTGACCACCCGTACTAACTATTTGGTCAAGTGACCGAATGCTTGTTCTGCAATATGGAGTTCGGCGTTGATAATGTTTTGCCAGATTGCCTTCAGGCTAGCCAGCAACGGGAAGGCGATTTCGTCTTATCATAAAATACCAGCCAATGGTGTTCCGTCATTGAGAATACAGAAATGAATCATCATAATATGAAATTATGGTCCATACATGGTGTCGAAATGAAAGGAAAGGTGGAAATTTTGAGGACTATATTTTCACGAGATCTCGCATGAAATTTTTTGTTACTTTGCGAAATCATCCCGAAATGAGTAAAAATTTCGTAAATTTCAAATTCACTTGTTGAGAATCAAACTGCTAGAAGAACAGCTCCGTTTTCTGATGCAGAATGGGAAATTTGGAAACTCGCGCGCTGTTTCGAAACGTAAACAAATGCAAATCAAGTTGTTTTCATTGCAAAAGTATATTGGCAATTATGACACTATTACCGTCCCGCGAACATTTTGTTTGTCGGTGAAGATAATTTGAGCAATTTGCAGAGGTCAATTATGGACAGAGTTCATCTAGCTACCCAGTTTACCCGGCGGTATTTTGGCATCGAATTGGCGTTCTTCCTTGCTCTGACCACCACGAAAGACTCGCAGGTTTCCTGTTTATGCTGACATCGAATTACTGCCGATGAAATTGCAAAAACTTCGGTCAACAAATCCGTCCTTGATGCTGTCAACAGGCGCACCATTTCTGATTAAAATTTCTGCGCATTCGAAGTTCCCAGCGCAAACTGCCGCTTCGAGGGCGGTCAATCCTTCTGGCGTCGTGATGTTGAAGTCCGCACCGTTTTCGACCAAAATCTCCGTGACTTCTTCGAGACCCGAAAACGCGGCGTGGTGCAGCGAGAATAGTCCCAGTTGTGCGCCGCGATTCACGTCGACTCCGTCAACTTTTAGAAGTTTCAAAATTTCCTCGATGTTGTTCTCCAGCACGGCCGAGTGTAGTAAAATTTCGGGCACGAGCGAGACAGTTCGTTTCTCCTGCCGCTGAATGTTTATGCTCTCGTTCAGAGCGTCTGAGAAGCTCTTGGTGGATTTCCCACTCGGAGAACAGGGCGACATTGGAAAGGAATATCGGTTGAAGTCCGTGATTGTCGGGCTGAGCGGTGCGATATTTTCTTTGAAAGTCAGCGGCCTGTTCCTTGCGTTAATATTGTTTTGATTTTGATCTGTCGTTACGCCACCATCGGGCAAACGTCTCGCAAATCTCCTTGAGTACAAAGAGTCTGGCCTTGAGTTGCGATTTATCTGGTCGTGCATACTGGATATAACAAAATACTCGTCCGTCTTCAAAATATACGTAGAATTTCTGCCGCTTAGCTTGTAGTTAAACGCTG